CTGTCCTTCCTAAATACTGAATACCCCAGGATGTTCAGTTCCCATTTCTGGTCACCCTGAAGTCATGCCTCCATAATCCGAACTATGTCATACCCATTTTACATCTATTTGCGTGACTAATTCATCCACATTATTTTGAATGCTCCATACATTCAGGCACATAGCCTCAGGGCTTGTCTTTCTAATGTTGCTTGTCCTATCCCCATTATTTTTTTTCACCTTGGCCTTAATTTATCCTGGCCTTTCATTCCTCTGCCTATCAGTTCTCTTACTCCCCTTTCTCTCTTTTGATCCTGTCCTCTTTTGATCCCCTTCCTCTTACTCCTTGCCAATTTAGATATAATCAATACCTTCCCTCCATCCAACAACACCCTCCCCTCCTCCCAGCCAACCACTTGAGCAAATATCCTAGTCCTGATCCTGCCTCGGTGTAACACTTCCAATTTGTCCTGGCCCCAGGATTCTGAAATCCGTCCCCTCTCACAACATCTCTTCAGCCATGTTTTTATCCAATGTATCCTGTTTTATCTATTCTGACTAGCAGTAGCACTGGTGATAACCCCCTATATTCTGCTTTTAAGACCTCATCACTTTTTTTCACCTATGTCCCCCCCATTGGTACCGGTGTATCATGACCACAGGCTGCTGCCCCTCCACTCCAGGATGTCCTGTAGATGCTCTGACATAGTTTTGACCCTAGCATCAGGGAGGAAACATACCATCTTAGGATATCACTTGTGGCCACAGAAATACCTATCTATTCCTCTTACAATTGAATCCCTTGTGACTATTTTATTTCCACACTTCTTGCTCCTCCCCTTGCAGCAGAGCCAACTGTGGTGCCATGAATTTGGCTACTGCTACTTTCCTCTGACAGACCATTCCAGCCAACTATCTGCAAAGTGGTATATCAAAGGTTTCTTTATTCATTCATGGGATGAAGGCATCACTGGCCAGGCAGCATTCATTGCCCATCTCTAATTACCCAGAGGACGGTTACGAGTCAACCACATTGCTGTGGGTCTGGAGTCACACGTAGGCCAGACCAGGTAAGGATGGCAGTTTCCCTCCCTAAAGGACATTAGTGAACCAGATGGGTTTTTCCAACAATCGACAAGGCATTCCTGGTCATCATTAGACTCTTATTCCCAGATATTTATTGAATTCAAATTCCACCATATGCCCTGGCAGGATTCGAACCCGGGTCCCCAGAACATTATCTGGGTCTCTGGATTAACAGTCCAGTGATAATACCACTTGGCCATTGCCTCCCCGTCGGTTATGGAGTTAAGGGGAGAAGGTTATGGGGAGAAGGCAGGAGAATAGGCTTAAGAAACATATCAGCGATGAATGAATGGCTCAATATGTCAAATGGCCTAATTTTGCTCCTATATCTTATGGTCTTATAATTTTTCAGGGGAATGACCACAGGGGGCTCCTGCACTGTCTGCTTAGTGGTCACTCATTCCCTTCCTGCCTGTGGAGTTTTAGCCTGCCATATGCCCACATCTCTGTATATGCTATCCACAAACCATCCACCTCACAGATGCTCCCCAGTGTCACCAGCTGTCACTCTAATTCTGAAACCCAGGCTTCCAGGAGTTGCAGCTGGAGACACTTCTTGTAGACATGCTAGTCCTGGGCACTGCTTCCCACATAGAGGAGGAGGAGCAAATCACAGCTTTGAGCTCTCCTACCATGACTTACTCTTTTAACTTCAACCTTTTGGAAGATGCTTAATATGAAACAATACAAATTTCTATAGGGTGCTTCGTCGCTGTTGCACGTTACTACAGAATACAGCTGTTAGAAACTTTAAACCACAAAAAGACCTTAGAAAGCATAAGGATAAAAGTTGGAAACATTTACCTGACCTTACCAATTACTTACCAACAAGTTCTGTCCCTTGGAACCTCTACTATTGTTAAGAGGTAAGACCACTTTTTTTTTTCTGTGATGTCACTCTTCCAATCAGCTCTGAGGAATATTTATTCATACGTACAGCTGAGATCTTATTCTCCAATGTTCAATAAGCTGATAATGGGAGGATAACCAGGAAGAAATCAAATCTCCTTCCTGTATCTTTCGCAGGTATAATCCTTCTGATTTAAACATAGTTCAAAATCCACTACAAACTTCATTTTTTCTTTGTTAGACTGGTTGTCTCCTAGCACAGCACCAGTTAACATTTAACAATTTGGGTGGCACGGTGGCTCAGTGGTTAGCACTGCTGCCTCACAGCACCAGGGACCTAAGTTCAATTCAACCCTTGAGTGACTGTCTGTGTGGAGTTTGCACATTCTCCCCGTGTCTGCGTGGGTTTCCTCCGGGTGCTCCAGTTTCCTCTCACAGTCCAAAAATGTGCAGGCTAGATGGATTGGTCATGAAAAATTACCCATAGTGTTGAGGGATGTGTAGATTAGGTGGGTTATAGGGGGAAGGGTCTGGGTGGAATGCTCTGAGAGTCAGTGTGGACTTGTTGGGCCGAAAGCCCTGTTTCCACACTATAGGGATTCTATGATTTGCCACCTGCTTGAGCATAATGCCTTTATATATTACTTTAAAATACAATCAACTTCCAGACTTGTCTGCATAAATATCAGTTTGTTTATTCTCCTCTCCTTTTCCTTTTAAAAAAAAGCTGCTGTTTGCAATTAAAGGCCACCTTCAGCTCTCAACTCACAGTTAACACTCCCAACCAAACATGATGCTACTAAAATGAAATAACGAAGGTGTCAACACCTTATACACACACAATTATTTTTAACTGTTCTCTGTGCAATTTGGGATGGGCAATAAATAGTTAGCAACACCCTTATTCAATGCATAAATTCATATATTTTGAATATATGATTAAGTTTTCAGCGTTGCCACCAAGAATTTTAAGCTGGAAGGCAGGAAGCTGTGAAGAGATTTCAGGACATGCTTTCCACCAGAGGGCAGTGGGGGTTTTGAATGCACTGCCTGGGAGGGTAGCTGTGACAGGTAACTTTGCAACCTTTAAAAAATACTTGGATTAGAAATGTTATAACATTCAATGTCTATGGGCCTAGTGCTGGAAGTGGGACTACTATAGATTTAACATTGTTTTGGGGTACAGTCTTGATGGGCAAAAGGGCTCTTCTATCCTGTAAGAGTCCATGAACAATACATATTGCCAAGCCCAGATTCCAAATTACTGTGTGCACATAAACATATTGTAACAGGAATTACTGGATTTCTCACCCTGCAAACAATGTGCCCAACATAACAAAGTGACCTTGCATTTATACAGTGCCATTCACATAATAAAAATTATAACACATTTCATGGGAGTGCTATAAAAGCAACATTTGACACTGAATCACATAAGCCGATTTTAAATTTACAGCCAGGAAATTGAAACCAAACATCACTTCAGCAGCAGATGGAATTGCCAAAACTATCACAATCTGAATGTAAGAAGTGATTCACAATAAAAGTAGAATTTGCTCAGTAGGTCTGACACCATCTGGATTTAACATTTCGAGTCCAGTTCTGGACCCAAAATATTAACTCTGCTTTCTCTCTCCAGATGCTGCCAGACCTACTGAGTTTCTACAACAATTTTTTCTTTGATTCAGATTTCCAGCATCTGCATTTCCTCATTTTATGAAAGAAGTCGTTGACACTAACTTGTTCACATTGATAAGTGACCATTTATATATTTTGAGTTTGAGAACAGCAAAGAGACCAAAACACAGGCAGCAATGAGTGGCTTCTTACCTGTTCCATGCACGAGAATGGACCCACTCATTTATCCCTTCGATTGAGAAAACTAGCAGGTTCACAAGTGACAATGGGAGTTGGATTCTGCTTTAGTTGCTTCTGTTAAACACCTTCTGTGCATCGCATCCAGGAACATAGAAACATTAGTAGGCCATTCACAATGTTGAAATTGCACTACTATTCATGACAATTATGGTTGACTGAATACTTTAATGTCTTTTACCCACCTTCTCCTCAAGTCCCTGTACACCACTGGTAATCAAAAATCAACCGTGAACATACTGTAAGACTGAGAATGTGAAGTTTTACCATTTAAGGTATATTTTGCACATCTACTAAACTCTGAATTCCTACAAAAATGGATAATGTGTCATTTTCCACATCATTTTCAATCTTCAGTGCTCTTGCTCATTCACTGAGCCTGACTAAATCCCATTGGAGTTGCTTTACGTTTTCCTTCCAAAGCGAAGTGGGACCGTGGGTGTATCATCCACGAATTTCAAAGTGTTATATTTTTCCCCCACCTCCAGATCATTGATATACACCATAGACAGCTGGGGGCCAAGTATCGATTCTTGTTGCACCCCACTTGTCAAGGTATGCCAATGCAAGAATGACCTATTAGGGCACAATTAGTTTACCCAGTCTATATGCAGATTAAAGTGTCCCATGATAGCATGCTACAAGCTTCCCTTATCTCCTAATTAATACCATTCCCCACACCATCATTACTATTTGGTGGCTCATGAATAACACCAAGTGCTTGCCCCTGCTGTTTTCCCCAACCAAATAAATCCATGCATCATTCTTCTGATCTGTGATCCTCCCTTACTAATGGACCAATCCTGTTCCTTATTATCAACACAACTCCACCTCCTTTTCCCTTCCTACGTGTTGAATATTCTTGAAAATTCAGTTCCTAGTCCTGATCACTATGCAGTCTTGTTTCTTCGATCATTAGGCAGAGACAATGAGCGCTGAGAGCACAGGACTGAAAATAGGGGAAAAGCTAAATAATTATGTAGATTCACAGAGAAGAACAAGGGGGAATGTCAGAGATAGCTTGACACATTAGACCAGAGGGAGGGAGACAGCAGAGGGCACTGATTGGACTGCCTCAGTCACAATTACTAAAAACAAAAGCTCCCTGAGCTCCTAGCACTGTTTGTTTCAGGAAAGAGGATATGGCGGAGAAGAAGAGCCCTTTGAAAGAAGCTAACTTATCTTAGGAATGCTACAAAGACTCAACACACTGTGTTTAACAGAAAGCTGATTTATTTGATTTTTTATCTCAAATACATAATCAAACTGGAGTTTAAAAACATCACAAAAGGACCCCAGAAAACATGGTTTAGAGATAGATGGTCACTCCAACAGTGACTCAGGGAACTTATTGGTATTTTACCACTCCGGATGAATCAGAAAATTTCACACACCATACAGGTGTTCAGTCTCTACTCCGTATAAATTCATTAATATACTGTGAGTTGGGATTATATTCTCGACTTCGTCGTGTAGATTTATCTTTATATTTGAATTGTATCTACATTATGATTTAACATCATCTGTAGAAACAGATCCTAATGACTGCCGTTCATTCCTGGGTATGCTTAATGGCAAAAACTTTGGTTACTTGTGAACTCGCTGGTGTTTCAGCAGGTGGGATGACTGAGTGAACCCCTTCCCACACTTGGTGCAGCTGAATGGCCTCTCCCCAGTGTGAACCCGCTGGTGTTTCAGCAGGTCAGATGACTGGGTGAATCCATTCCCACACAGCGAGCAGGTGAATGGTCTCTCCCCAGTGTGAACTCGGTGGTGTTTCAGGAGGTTTGCTAACTGAGTGAATCCCTTTTCACAACGAGAGCAGGTGAATGGCCTCTCCCCAGTGTGAACTCGCCGGTGCGATAACAGGGTTGATGACTGAGTGAATCCCTTCCCACACACAGAGCAGGTGAATGGCCTCTTCCCAGTGTGAACACGCAGATGAGACAGCAGTGTGGACGATGCAGCAAAGCCTTTTCCACACTCAGAGCAGATGAATGGCCTCTCCCCAGTGTGACTACGCTGATGAGTTTCCAGCAGGGATGGATATTTGAATCCCTTCCCACACTCCTGACATTTCCAGACTTTCTCCACTGTGTGATTACGCTGGTGCATGGACAGGTCAGATGAGTGATAAAAGATGTGTCCGCAAACCAAACATGTGTAGAGTTTCTCCCCACTGTGATCTGTGCTTTTTCCTTCCATGGTCACAATCGTGTGATAATCAGGTTACAAAAAATTTGAGTGACTCTATCACAACCAGGAGCAATGTCTGGGTTGAGTCTCCTGACTGCAAATCCACCCCTCTAATTTCCTGCAAAATTGATTTAAAACAGAAGAGGACAAAAGTGAGAGAGAACCCACAAAAAACACACACGGGTTGTGAAATCAAGGTTATGCATCTAGTAACGTGGAGTCATGAAAGAAGCCTAGCTCATTTACTAATGTCCTTCAGGGAAGGAAACTAGTCAGTGGTTGCCAATGACTATCGAAGGAGGTGAAAGAGGCAGTTGATAAAGGATTTAACGTATCAACAACTGGGCCAGAACTTCAACACAATTTTCCAAAGGCTCATTCCTACCACCTAGATGGACCAGGGTAAGTGTATGTGAACGCCATCACCTACAAGTCACACAACACCCTGACTTGTCTGCCATCTGAATAAGCAGAAACTTTCTGTATTTCAATACTGGGAGGGCTGAAATCACAGTCTTCAGTCCAGAGATAGAAGGTGCTGTTTTAAAATTATAGGTTACTCTTTTAGGGTAAATGGCTTTTATTTTCTCCCAGATGGTTGCGTAACTGTGGAACTCAGAAGACAGTGGAGGTGTAGTGTTTGAATATTTTGAAGGCAGAGGTGGATAGATTCTTGGCAGACAACAGAATCAAGGGTTATTTGGAGGCACATGGGAATGTAAAATTCATAACACAAACACATTAGCCGTGACCGTATTGAATGTTAGAACAGGCTTGAAGAGCCAAACGGTCCACCTCTGCTACTACTTCATATGTTCATATGGACCTTGGAATGAACATGAGGCCATCCAAATAAATCTGCAACCCCCCCTCACACCAGGCTTCCTTCATCTAACACCACACAACTCACTGAATTACACAGAACCCAACGTCACTCAGCTCACTGAGTTTTATGATTCAAAAATAGGTCGAAAGTCAAGTTACAAAAGGATGCAAGCAGTTTACTAGGAGATATTGATAAGTGGGCAAAAAATTGGCAAATGGAATAAAATGTGGATTCCATTGAAACCCTACATTGTGGAAATAGGCCTTTTGGGCCAATGAGTCCACATCGACCCTCCGAACAGCATCCCATCCAGACCCACACCCATCCCCCTACCCTATTCCTTGAAACCCCGTATTTCCCATGGCTAATGCACCCAACCTACACTTCCCTGAACACTGGGTAATTTAATATGGCCAGACTTGCACCAAACTTGCACATCTTTGGACTGTGGGAGAAAACCAGAGCACCTGGCAGAAACCCACGCAGATGCGGGGAGAATGTGCCACCTCTACACAGTCACCCGAGGGTGGAATCAAACCCAGGTCCCCTGGGTGAGTGAGGCAGCAGTGCTAATCACTGAGTTGCCATGCTGCCCATTCATTTTGGAAGGGAGAACAAAAGGAAAGATATTATTTAATGGAAAAAAAACTACAGAAAGCTGCGACACAAAAGGTACTTGTGCATAAAACAGAAAGCTAGCACACAAGTGAAGCAGACAATCAGGAAGACTAATGGAATGTCGGCCTTTATTTCAAAGGGGTTGGAGTATAATAGCAGAGAAGTCTTACTACCACTGTACAAGGTGCTAGTGAGGCCACATCTGGAGTAGTGTGAGCAGTTTTAGTCCCCTTATTTAAGGGAATATATCATTTCATTGGAGCTCAGAGAATTTTCACGAGATGAGTCTTTGTAGGGAGGGATTGTCTGATGAGCAAAGGCTAAACAGGTTGGGACCCTACTCACTGGAGCTCAGAAGAATGAGAGGTCATCTCATTGAAACATATAAGATTCTTAAGATGCTTGACAGGTAAATGCTGAGAGGATGCTTCCCCTCATGGGAGAGTCTCGAACCAGCGGATAAAGGAGCATCAATTTAAGACTGAGATGAGGAAGAACTTCTTCTCTCTAAAGATTGAGGGTCTTTGGAACTCCTTGCCTCAGAGAACAGTGGGGCAGTGTCCTTGTATATGTTTAAGGTTGAGATAGATAGATTCTTGATCAGCAAGGGAATCCAGTCATGAGTTAAAGGGCATCCTATTGAATGGCGGAGCAAACTCAAGGGACCAAATGCCCTACTCCTGCTCCTATTTCTATGATGTTATGAGTCACACAGACTTGTTCATCCAACACCACTCTGCTCACTGTGTGAAACAGGCTTTTGATGAAACAGAGCTTCAGTTTGAAAATGCTTTTCTTTTTCCTCAAATTCTTCAATGACCTCACCCCTCATCATCTCTAAATTCCTCAAAGCCTAAATCTAGGCTCTATTAATTCTGCTAAGTTTTGGACCACTGATTTTAATTGGCCCATTATTGGTGACCATGCTGGGCTATAAGGTCTGCAGTTCCCTCCTAAGACTTGCCCTGTCATTCTTTATGATTCTCCTTTGATGTTGTCTCAAGTTGCATAAAATCACTTCTTGTGCAATACATTTGGACCTTCCATTAAATGCAGGGCAGTAGAAAAATACAAACTGTTGAGGCTGTTCCTTCGTCACCTCTTTATCCATTACACCTCAGGAAATACAGTGATTCAAGATGTCGTCCTATCTCACCTTCTCAATGCGAAACTTGGCAATAATGTTTGCCTTGTTAGCCCTACCCAAATCCCAAGAATTGAAGTAAATGATCTATACATGTAAAATGGATTAAAATCTTCTATGAAGGTATTTGTGATCAATAAGAATATGGTTTACAATGTTTTGACACTGTCTGACTAGATACCTAAACTTAAAAACCTACCTCCCTTAACATCTCACATGGGAAATCAACGGGTCAAACTAATTCAAAATTCCTCCCAGAGATACCCAGCAACTTCTCCTCTGCTTCCGCTCCAGTTCAAACTGAAACAGCAAGAAGACTGACACAAAGGGTCAAGGACTGACCTCCTCATCCAACACCCATACAGATTCAAACCACCTCCTGTTGTGTACGGCCGTATGTCTGTTCTATTAAACAAACAAAACAAAACTTGTCAAAGGCAGGATCTGAAACAAAAGAATAAAATACTGTGAACATTCAACAGACCCTATGATACCCATGGAATGAGGAAGTAGTTAAGGGTTCAGGTCGATGACTGGTCGTCAGCCTGCAATACGAAACTGATTAACAGCTGCTGGATAATAACAGAAACAGAAAGTACTGTAGAAACTCAGAAGATCTGGATTCACCTACAGACAGAGAAAACAGTGTTAACATTTCAAATTCAGCATTCTCTCATCAGAATGTTCTCCCTACAGATGTTGTCAGACCTGCAGAGCTTCTCCAGCACTTTCTGTTTTTATTTCAGACTTCCAGCATCCAGAATTCTTTGGAATTTTTAACAGCTGCTGAATAATGGTCAATAGAGTTTCCACAATTCTCTGCGTCTCAGCCAACACTCACCATCATTTGCTACCCTGCCAAATCACAGAAGTGTCATGGTGCACAAAAAGGCTGTTTGACCAATTAAGTCTAGACCACCCTTCAGAGCATTTTAACTTATTGCCAATATCCTACCTTTTCCCTATAGCACTGAAAAACTCTTCCTACTGAAATAATCACCCAAAGCACTCTGAATGCCTCACTGAACCTGCCTCCACCACACTTCCATTTAGTGCACTGGAAACCTGAACCATTTGCCATGTGATAAAGTTTTCTCTCCTCACATTTGCTGTTTTTGCAAAACACTTTGAAATGACTTCAGCAATGCTGGTATCCTGTCACCAAGCCGCTCTTTATTGATATGTGGAGAGTCCTTGACATTGAGGCAGCTCCCTCAGAACCAGCTCTCAGAGTGAACTGAACCTCTGACACTCCAGATTAACAGCCCCAATCAGGGAACTCATATTCTATGAGGTCCACCATGCTGACCTCATTACAATCACTACAGCTTTAAAGCTCTAAAGGGAATTTGAGAAGCAAGTACATAGAGAAGTCTCAAATGTATGTAGGAATAATACAGTTGTAGTAGTTCGAGAGTTTACTTTTCCAAACATCGACTGGGACTGCCATAGTATTAAACGTTTAGATGGTGAAGAATTTGCTAAAAAGTATTCAAGATAATTTTCTTTATCAATATGTAAATGTTCCTACTAGAAAATGAGCAAAACTTGATCTTTTCTTGAGAAATAAGACAGGGCAAGTGACTGAAGTGTTAGTAAGGGAACACTTTGGAACTGGTAATCATTATACTATTAGTTTCAAACTAGTTATGCAAAAGGATAAGCACACCATAAAAGTTAAAGTTCTTAATTGGAGTAAGGCGAATTTTAAGGGTAGGAAACAAGAACTTTCAAAAGGTAAAGTGACAACGTACAAGTAGGCGGCCTTCAAAAGTACGGTAATGAGAGTTCAGAGGCATTGTGTTCCTGTTTGAGAGAAAGGAAGGCTGGTAAGATTGGGGAACAGTGGATGAATAAAGATATTTAGTTTCTAGTCAAGAATAAAAAAGAATCGTGTATTACATAAAGAACAAAGAACAACACAGCACAAGAACAGGCCCTTTGGTCCTTCAAGCCTGCGCTGACACATTTTGCCCTTCTGTACTAAAACTGCCTTCACTTACAGGAACTGTATCCCTCTATTCTCTTCCTCTCCATGCATTCGTCCAGGTGCTTCTTGAATGCTGCTATTGTGTCTGCTTCCACTGGCAGCACATTCCAGGCATTCACCACCCTTTTTGTGGAAAAAACTTGCTTCGCACACCTCTTTTAAACATTCCCCCACCTGCACCTAGAACCTGTGTCCCCTAGTAATTGGCCCCACCATCCTGCAAAAAAGACTTATACTTTCCACTCTGTCCATGCTATTCACAATATTATAAACTTCCATTAGGTCACTTCTCAACCTCCTGTGTTCCAGCCTTTTCCAACCTTTCTTCATAGCTAAAACCCCCATGCCAGGCAATATTCTGGTAAACCTTTTCTGTAGCCTCTTCAAAGCATCCACATCCTTCTGGTAATGTGGTGACCAGAATTGTACGCAATATTCTAAGTGTGGCCT